TTTGTGATAAATTTTCCAAGGTTTTCTCATTGTTTTCAGCTCCAGAGAGCAAATTGTTGACATACAATGATTTTTCGAGAAGCACTGCCATTTCCGGTTCACTATGTCGGTACAAGCTCAAGTGATGAGTGATTGTTGCTCCAAGTATCGAAGGCGATGGTCGTAATCCAAACAAAAGTCAGTGGAATCGAAATTGTGCGATTCTTGGTCTGTCTTGTTCTGGGTTATCAAACCACAGGAAATGTAGCATGTTTCGGTCTTTTTCTTTAATACTGACCATTAGAAAAGCCTTTTCAATGTCTGCGGTAAGTCCAATTGGGTTGTTTCAGAATCTTGCTAGCATGTCAAATATGTGCAGAATGTAATTATCGCCAGTTTCTAAACAATCGTTTAGTGACAGTTCTTCTTTAGACGCTTTCGCTGACCCATCGTAAACTACATGCACTTTAGTTGTTTCACGATACTTTCTGATCACTGCATGGTGTAGTGAATAATAGATTCAGGCGTTGTTAATGGTACTGCTTGATTCTTCTTTGTGAACTCTTTCAACAATTCCGGTCTGCTCTTGTTCTCGAATAATTTTGTCATAGTCCCTCGATAAATCTGGATCCTTTTTCAATTTGAAATGCAGTGATCGCAGTCGGATTTCACACATTCGATAGTTATTTGTACGTGGGAAGCAGTCTTCCTTCCATGGCAGTGCAACTTCGTAATGACGACCATCAAAAGAGATTTCTTCATTTCGCTTGGCTTCAATTGGCAAGGGAGTTGATGTCGTCTGTAATTCCGTTGCTTTCGGTTTCCCAGAACAGTTTCAGCATATTCGTGATCTCGTCGACTTCATTCACTTCGTTTAACAATGGTTCACCAGAGATGATGAGATTCGAGACGACATTGGAATTTTCATGTACATGTTGCTCATCGGTAGGGCCTGACAGAAGCCAACCCAACTTGCTGTTGATGGCTGTGGGACCGAATTCACCGTGGATCGATTCACCAGTAATAATCTGATCCAATGAGAATGTCAATAGAGTCTTGGTCGATCGCTGAACTGTCTGCTAAATCTAAATCGGCTAAATGTGGGTATTTCGTGGCATCTATTCTCTTAGGAAGTGGCGAACAAATGACCGGAAAATTGAGCGCTGAAATCTCCACATACTCGTCTTTACTGCTTCGCAGTGGCAAAGTAACATCTTGGCATTTTTGTTTACGATAGGCATTTTCCCCAAACGTGTTTAGGTGAAGGGTCTCAGTTGACATTGCAGTTAAACCCAGCTTTGCTTTGATGTGGTCAGTCACGTATGAACGTTGACTACCATTGTCTAATAAAATTCGTACGGGAACGGACTTGGATCGGTCCTCGTTTGTTGCTATCGCGGTAGCAGTTGGTAACAAAATGCTCCCCTTGGCTCTTTTCGTACTTGTAGTTGCGGTGGTAGTGGTCCTCCCCAAACTAGTTGCTTCTTCGTTGTTTGTGTTACTGTCGGTTGGTCACGTTTCTCGATATCCTCCTAAACAAATTGACTGATGATGACGGCCTCCACAGTTACAACAGTTCCTTGAGCCCCTGCAGTCCTTGATTTGATGCCCAGGAAATAAGCATTTAAAACATCGTTTTGACTTGATTAGTGTACTTCTTCTGTGGTTCAGATCAGTCACCCTCCAGCAAGACGCTGAATAGTGTAAATCGTTACAATAAACACATCGTATTTCCGGTGTTTTCTTTGCTGTTTGGTCATCTTTGGTTACTAAGGAATTTGCGGTTGGATACTTGGGATTCTTGTTTTGGTACGGTGGAGGTTTTTGATTTCAATCTTCGGTGATTTTGACATTCTTGCTAACTTCTATTGCTTCAATATAAGTTCAACAATAATTCACGACAATATCAACTACAATTAGCATTGTAAAAAAATGTAATATTTACTCGCAAAACTAATAGTCTACATCTAATGTTGTGGCACACCATCCATGTTCCAGTAGCCATAGTGAAATTTGACTCAGAACTTCCTTTTCCTTATGAAATTTCAACTCCGATGGCTTCTCATCCAAAACAATTACCTCACACCTCTCCATTTCACGTTTTAGTCGTTTTTTTTAAATATTCTCCGGTCCACTTTAGCCCCGTCAATGTTCATCCTTGTGAAGAGATATTTTGCTTATCGAAAATCTTATATTCTGTAAGACAATTGATTGTTTGTCTCACTGAATTTGTGACCAAAACTGTTTTGGTTCAGGACAAATTCTGTGATGCAGTCCATCACCTCCATAGGCATGTCCACCATAAATTCACCAATCCACGGATTGGCTAGTTTCAGTTTCAGGCTGAGGCGCAAATGATTTTGCAGTGCACCTTTCTTAAGGTTCTTTCTACCATTCCACGTCTGCTACAGTATTGCATAACATGTGTAGTGATTGAAGGGTACAGATTAATACAATGTTCTGAAAGCTGACTACACTCTAGACAAATTTTGAACATGAATCAACTAAGAATTCCAGCAAAGACTAGACAATTGGATTGAGATAAGTACATATGAACTGTATTATTCTTGAACTTGAACTCTAAGACAATAACGAGGTCAAATGTTACATGCCAAATCCTCAGTCAAATATTAGGTCACCAACTTGCGGTTACAATGGAGTTGCCTTTTGTGACCAAGAGGTCCTGAGCTTGTAAGTGCAGGTCTTGAAACTCTGAACTACTGAATTAAACTAACTGTACTTTTATAAGGAATCGAACAATAGCTGGAAATTCCTATGATTTTGAAGCTAGGCGTAATAGTGTTACATACAGGAAATTTATGATACACATCCTGTGTTTGGGATGATTTTATTATCAATAGGAAATAGTTTCTGCAGATGTAACTCTAAAACTGGGACAAAAATGTCATGCATTTTGTGAGCCTGGTCACAATTAGAAGCTATTTGTAAACCTAAACAATAATATCAAGACAATGGTTAGTCACTTTGTGTAAGGTTATAGAGAATTGCTACAATAATATTTTAAATCTAGTTACATTAATATCGTAACTAAACAATAGCCTCTACTAATTGTATTATTACTGTTATATATTTTGTTTGGCAATATAAAAGTTACACTTAACTGTTATGATTTGCTTAAAAGTTGACTAAACCAAGTTTATAAGCTAGAAGGTTAAAAGTTACATTGCTCAGAAAATGGCAAGGTTTGGCAGCAAAAACAGGGTAGCACTAAGGGAAATAGTGCTTGCATAGATTTTTCAGTTATGACAAACTAACTAAACCATTATAGAGTAGTCAGTTGTTGGTATAGTATTTAGGGTGATGTTGGAATTGATGATTACTCACAGTTCTGTGATGCACCTGATCCTGTCAAAATTTTTTCCCAAAGTGAGGCAGTTCATCATACTGACAACTCGGTCAAAAAAAGGCGAGCTTGGGTTGTGTGGATGTATTTCTTTTAACAGGCTGAGCTTGTGGTAGTGGTTTATATGGCCTTATTGTTAGAAACCTAGTGTTTGCTAGCTTTCTGTTTTGCATTCTCTTTCTATTTTGAAAAAAGTTTGAATGATCAAATGTGATCAAACTGAATAGTGAATAGCTACATCCACCCAGTAACATGTCTGTCGACTACTATGTAACAGACTGCATCATGGGGTAATTGGAGTTGCACAGATACTTTAGTAAGGATACATTCATGATGTTGAAGGTGTTTATATTTTAAACCTGCTAGACTGTTTAACAATACATTTTTGGTACTTCCCCAAGTCTGATATGTTAAATTAGTTGCTGTGGTTGTTTTTAAATGTTTTAAAAACAGCAGGTCAAACCTCTCTTGATAAATTTGTACACTTAAACTCAAAGTATTATTTTTAACTGTCAGAATTTTCTTTTCAATAATTGACTTTGTGTAGCTGTTTATGAGATTTTATTGTTGTTTCTCTGGAGATATTTTTAAATAATGTAGTAACTAAGAAGACAAAACTCAAGTGAACGTATGAATGGCTTCTACTTCTCATTTCTTCTAGCTATTGTGAAGTTTTGATGCTCACAATGGTGGTCATGGTATTACTTTATGGCTGCTGTATTGTTTTAATGCTTGGAGGGCTTTTTGAATCTTTCAAAAGGTGTTGGTAAGGAATGGTGAGCAACAAAGAAGTCAAAATTCAATTTGGGTGGTTATTTCTTATAATAATATTTATGACTATTCCTTTTTGTTATTATTACCTCATTGAATTGGAAAGTTGAGGCAGTGGCAGAGAACCCTAATAGCAGAAACTAGTTGCCCTTGTTTGTGAGCAGAGAGGTGCTAGCAATGGTCTCAAGTGTACATGTAGAAGTTGTACATGATGGTGTCTTTAGTGTCTGGACTTCTCTCATAGTCAGAGCTGTGTCTTCAGGTAATTTCTCTACGGTTCACATCACCTCTTCTGGTTGTAATATTTTCACTCCTCCGTACCTTGTGGTCGAACAAAACACCAAAAAAATAAACACCAACACACTCTCAAAATCCTTTGGAATGATTACGGAACTCGAGAGCCAAGAAACACTCTGCTATTGAATTACAAAACACTTACAATAACTACTAATTGCAGACAAAGATATTTTGGCAAATAATGTCATTAGGTTGCATTTTATGTGACAACAACAACAGTTATAAGGAACTGTCTTAATTTTTTTGTACAATTTCTTGAACACCTTCTACACAGTCCTTTTTTGGAATCAAAGGCAGTGTTCACGCTTGGTGCCCGGGCACTAGTACCCGGGCACCGGCACAAAATGGTGCTGTGTTCAGACACACGGTACCCAGTCTGAAGATATGTTCACATTCAATAAACAGAGCACACGCTCACTATTGCACCTTCGGATGCCATTTTGAAATCTCGAGTGAGACAAGGAATTGTGGGTACGAAAACAAGTGGTTTGTGGGTAAAGTGCCAGGGCACCAATGAAAAATGTGTTCACACAAGGACTCAGTGCCCAGTTTAGTGCCCGAATTCTGGCGTGGGTACCAGGAAAAAAGGTGTGTTCACATTGGTGCCCGGCGTAGAATAGAACCCGGGCACGGTGCCCGGGCACCAAGTGTGAACACTGCCAAAGTCTTGAACACTTGGTTATTGAGGAAACTATCATTTAATGTGTAATCTAACTTTGAAACATCTTGACTTGCTTTGTACTAATGTAAGATGTTCTCAGAAATTTTTTTCAGCTCAAAGAACTGTTCGTCTGTAATTTCATGTTGAGTAAACAAAGAAACATTGTCTGTAAAGCAACCTTACTGCATAAACTGCCATAAATGAAACTGTTCCGAACTGACCAGGACCATAGATCACACCTTTATTTTGCTTATTTTGATCATGTTTTTCTTCCTTCCTCTTGGTACTTGTTTTAATGTTGTGCAACATCTACTCTGCACAGATCTTGAAGTCTGTAACCCTCTTAAGTATATTTGCAAGGAGGAATGTCAAGGGCATGAAAAAGCTCAACAACAACAACTGAGCCAATTTTGAAATGAGAAACTGCCTCATACAGTCCTAATTTCAATGGATGACTTCCACCATCTCAGTCAAAGATCTGTTTTGATTCTGTTTCTTGCCATGTAGGCACTTCTGCAGTAAGTCATCCTCGCTTAGTCTAACATTCAGGCTTAAGCTTGGCAATAACCATGCCTGATATCCCAGAAAAGTCTAATCCATGTGGTTGTGAGGCTTACACTGTTTACATCCTTGGCTTAGGGGCCTACACATGGTGACACAACCAGTGTTTGACAAGTAGCCCTTCTTTGGCCATTTGTTGCCAAGTTGCTGTTAAAAGATTTCTCAGTTCCAGGTGGAGGCATATTCATAATTAAGAAAAGGTGGCCTAGAATAAGACATTAAGACAGTATTTAAAGGCAAAAATGAAAAAAGCTAAAATCTAAATGACTGCATTTTAATAAGCACATCAAAAGTACTAAAAGACAAAGTGATTATCTAATCACTATAACTGTACTCTGATTTAGCTATGTTTGGTTAATGTTGGTTTTAAATGAAAGTAAAAATTAGCATGGTCAAATGTTTTAAGAAAGTGAGCTCCACAGTTTAGCACCACTTAACGGAAAAGTTTGTGAGGTATTTGGTCTTTTTACCACTTTCTCTTGACCTCTAGGCAGAGGCAACTAACAACAGAATAAACAAACCCTCCCTCCCTGATGATGTCCAGTGTTGATGTCAAAGTTACCCTAGTATCCTGAAGAACTATCAGCTTTAAACCACCTTTTCATTAGAAGTTTAATGGATTTCATTAGCATATACAGTTTGAGAGAAGTGTACCCCTTATACTTGATCCTTGCTTCTTCCATTGCCTGCTTGCTATTGGGGTTATAATAGTGAGACAGATTGCCTGTTAAGCTTGCAAGAAACGGCCTAAGTTGGTCAGGTAAAGTGTATCTGCTTCAGCAGAATCACAAGTTGGCATCTAAGAGTTATCATTCCAATGTAAATATATATTGATATCAAGTAATAATCTTTCCAATACTCTGTAAGTAACAACAAATAATAGATGCCCATGGCAATTATCAATCTAGAAAAAATCTCCCTAAAGTCAATTGCCTGGTCCTGTCCCGGTCCTGTTCTTTGTATCTTCTGGTTCGCTTTTGCATCTAAAGCGCGTTTGAAATCATATCATAGGTGAGATATTAAAAACAAACAATAATATTGTCACTGGGTTACTTATCTCTATCCTTGGGTAAATGCGTTTAGGTCCTCCATATTTGCAAATTTGCGGATCGGTGAGTTCTCTGATTTCCTGAGAAATATGGAACCATTTTTCGCCCAGCAGAATTTGAAGCTGTTGGCTTCTTTGAACTTCTTTGCCTCATACAGAAGGGTTTGTAGACGAGGTGTCAGATGATCGTAAATATTGAGGTGACTCACATCAATCTCTGAAGAAAATCCTAGTTGCTGTGCTGTTATGTTCCTTATTGTCTTCCTAGATGCCATGATTTTTTCCTTTACCATCCTTCTAACAAATTTATAAACTACTGCGTCTGGTCAATTTGAGGGATTCCTTGATGGAACTCGGTGGGCAATGTCAATGTCATTTATCGAAACATCTTTCACTCCCATCTGATGAAATAGTTGAAGACACAGGTTAGCTGTCTGCTCGGTCGTCTCTTTTGCTGCCAGCAACGGTAGACCGATAACTTTGATGTTAAATTGGTAGCTGTACATTTCGAAGCCATCAATTGACTGCAAGATTCTATCGCAAGCATCTGAAATTACATTTAGCCTTGAGCTTAAACGCTTCAGTTCTTTCGATGCGTACTTTTTAAACGCTTCAAAATCATTCTTTGCCCACAGTGTTGCTGCCATGTTCGATGCCAGCATCATGATTGATTTCTTCATGTCAATGTCCAATTTCCTCAGTCAATTTATCCAGTTGCTTCTTGAGATCTTCAATTTCATTCCTTAACTGCTGATTTTCTTTTTTTAGTTGGTTTTCTTTACCAGTCATAATTAGGGAAACTTAATAGAATAAAATAAC